CAGCTTGAATTTCTGACAGTTCCCTGTGGATATACTGCTTCAACCGCTTTTGAACAATCTTCAGCAAAATTTTACTTGCATGTGATATTAATGATATTGTTATATAATTTCCGCATTCTGTTGGATCACCTTTCTCTGGATTGGGCACAAATATGGATCTCTTCCAGTTGGTTGGCCAGGTAGCTCTCTTTCAAATTTCTTGGCATAGATGAGTGAGCACTCCCAGCATTGTATCCATTTGTTGAAACATGTCAACTGGTTTTCTGTCAATTCCTGAAGCCTTGTTTTTCGCCAATGCCTTCAGTGCAACTTGGCCTTCTTCCTTCAGTACCATTGGTTCTTGATCTTATGCGACCTCCTGAAATGACTGAACAATGACCAACTCCTTTTGGTACAGTGACTCTGTATTTTCCATCTTCTTTTGATGCTTCCTGCGTCGTTCAACATTATGCCCATAGAATCCTTCAAAATTGCAACTCAAAGCTTGAATTTTTTCTTCAGCTCTTTCAGCTAGAGAAATACCATGCATATACTTCCCTTTTAGTTTTCAAACTCCAGGTCTTTGCACATTTCATTATAATACTTTACTCTGTCTTCTTCAGCCACCCTTTGAGATCTTCTGTTCAGCTCTTTTACTTCATCATTTCTTCCATTCGCTGTAGCTGCTCTACAGACAGCAAGTTTCAGAGTCTCTTCTGACATCCATTTTTGTCTTTTCTTTCTTTCTCATCTTTTTAATGACCTTTTGCTTTCTTCATGCATGATGTTTTTGATATCATCCCACAACTCTTCTGGTCTTTGGTAATTAGTGTTCAGTGTGTCAAATCTAATCGTGAGATGGTCTCCAAATTCAGGTGGGATATACTTAAGATCATATTTTGGCTCTCATGGACTTGTTTTAATTTTTTTCAGCTTCTATTTGACTCTACATAGGATCATCTGATAATCTGTTCTGCAGTCAGCCCCTGGCCTTGTTCTGACTGATGATATTGAGCTCTTCCATCATCTCTTCTCACAGATGTAGTCAATTTGATTCCTGTGTATTCTATCTGGTGAGATCCACGTGTATAGTCATCGTTTATGTTGTTGCAAAATTCTATCATGCGCTCTCTGGTGTCGTTTCTATCACCAAGGCCATATTTTCCAACTACCGATCCTTCTTCATTTCCAACTTTTGCATTCCAATCACCAGTAATTATCAATGCATCTTGATTGCATGTTTGATCAATTTCAGACTATAGTAAGAAGTTGGTAAAAATCTTCAGTTTCCTCTTCTTTGGCATTAGTGATCGGTGTGTAAATTTGAATAACACTCATTAACTGGTCTTTCTTGTAGGTGTATGGATATTATCCTATTACTGACAGCGTTGTACTTCAGGACAGATCTTGAAATGCTCGTTTTGACAATGAATGTGACGTCATTCCTCTTCAATTTGTCAATCCTGGCAGAGTAGACCATATGATTGTCTGATTCAAAATGGTCAATACCAGTCCATTTCAGCTCACTAATGCCTAGGATATCGATGCTCATATGTTCCATTTCATTTTTGACGACTTCCAATTTTCCTAGATTCATACTTAGTACATTCCATGTTCCTATTATTAATGGATGTTTGCAGCAGTTTTGCCTCATTTTGAGTCATGCCACATCGGCAAATGAAAGCCCCAAAAGCTTGACTCCATCCACGTCATTAAGGTAGACTCTACTTGGAGGAGGCAGCTCTTCCCCAGTCGTATTTTATGTGCCTTCCAACCTGAGGGGCTCATGTTCTGCTGCTATTCATAAGGTTTTGATTGGCCAATTTTTTCAGAAGTAGACCTCCAGGTCCTTCTCCCTAGTCTGTCTTTGTCTGGAAGCTCTGCTGAAACCTGTCCACCATGGGTGACCCTGCTGGTATTTGAAATAACGGTGACATAGCTTCCAGCATCACAGCAACACACAAGCCCCCGCAGTACGACAAACTGACAGACTCGTGGTAGTCATTAAAGTCTACATATTTTAAATACTTAATTCAGTGTTTCTCCATGTTTAACACTGTGTTGTTGCTGTTAGCTGCCATTGAGTTGATCCCCGACTCATGGTGACCTCACGCACAACATGATTGGATCATTACGATTCAGATACGGTTTTTTTGTTGTTGCTGAGGAGCCCTGGTGGCGCAGTGGTTAAAGTGCACATCTGTTAACCAAAAGGTCGGCACTTTAAACTCAACCAGCCAATCTGCCGAAGAAAGATGTAGCAGCTACTTCCGTAAAGATAACAGCCTTGGAAACCCTATGGGGCAGTTCTACTCCATCCTATATGGTCGCTATGAGTTGCTCGACTTAACGGCAATAGATGTTGACAATACACATGGCAAAATATATACCAATTCAAGTTTCTATGTGTACAATTCAGTGACACTGATTACATTCTTTGAGTAGTGCAACCATTCTCACCCTCTTTTTCTGAGTTGTTCCTCACCACTAATATAAACTCACTGCCCACTAAGGTTCCTATTTAATCTTTTGGGTTGCTGTTATCAGCTGGATCCCGTGTAGCTAGTTCTTAAAACAGCATAATACTCAAGGCAGACATTTTTTACTAGTTAAGCTAAACTATCGTTTCGTTTTAAGAAGACTTCAGGGGATATTTTCAGTTTACGGTTTAAAGATTATCTCAAGGCAATCATTTCAGGGGTTCATCCTGCCTCATGGCTCCAGAAAGTATGGAGTTTAGAATTTTAAATTCTGTTATGCACTTTCCCTCTTTTGATCAAAGATTCTTCTACAGAATCTTTGATCAAAATGTTCAGTAATGGTAGCTGGGCACCATCCAGTTCTTTTAGTCTCATGGCAAAGGAGGCGGTTGTTCACGGAAGTAATCAGCCACACGTTCCATTTCCTCCCATTCCTGAGTCTCCTTCTTCCTCTGTTGCTCCACTTGAATAGAGACCAATTGTTGTGCCTTGGATGGCTGCTTGCAAGCTTTTAAGGCCACAGGAACTACTCAACAAATAGGAAGTAGAACAGAAGCACTAAACATGTTATTAGGCCAATTAACTGGGATGTCCCATGAAACCATGACCCTAAACCTCCAAACCAAGGAATAAAATCCCATGATGTGTTTGGTTGTACACAGGCAGCCTCAGCAGCTACTCTTTTTTATTTTTTTTTTGGCATTGTAAATAATCTATCACACAACTTTTGCCAATTCAACTTTTTACAGGTGCACAACTTATTGACAGCACTTACAATAACAGCTGTGCAACCTTACCCTTAATCAGTGTGATCTGTTTATCCATCAATCACTGTAAACCAAAACTCAGCACTCCATAAACAATAATCTCCCCCTTTCACTCCCCCTCCCACCCTGGTAACCACTAATAAACTGTGGTCTCTATACATTTGCCTTTTCTTGTATTTTTATATAAGTGAGGTCATACAGTAATGGTCCTTTTGATTGACTTACTTCACTCAGCATAATGTGTTCAAACTCCATCCACATTGCAGTATGTATCAAGATTTCATTTCTCCTACTGGCTGATTAGTATCACATTGTATGTATGTACCGCTTTTTGTTTATCCATTCATCTCTTGGTGGACATTTAGGCTGCTTCCACCTTTGGGCTTTGTGAATAGTGCTGCACTGAGATCCACAGGGTTTTCACTGGCTGATTTTCGGAAGTAGATCAGCAGGCCTTTCCTCCTAGTCTTAGTCTGGAAGTTCCCGTGAAGCCTGTTTAGCATCATATCAACACACAAGCCTCCACTGACAGAAAGGTGATGGCTAAGCTTGAGGTGCACTGGCCAGGAATCAAACCCAGCTCTCCCGCATGAAAGGTGAGAATTCTACCACGCAATCACCACTGCCCCCAATGCTGTGCTAGGTGCTAGGAATTCAGTGATGGTTCTTGCTTTCAAGCGAGCTCATAGGAAATCCCAAAGAAAACTACAATATGAAAATAAGGGTGATGGAAGTCCACAGATATGAATACGTGATGGTAAAAGTTATATAAAATATCCAATAACTCCTGCAGCTAGAAATGTCAAGGCTCAAGGTTCCTTCTCCCCTGTTAGGGAATGCAGGGAGGGGAGTCCCAATGATTGTCAGAGTTTAGAAATGAAAAACTCTCAAGTCTGGGCAAGGCAGTAAGAAGCAGTAATTTGGGGCAAATCTCACAGAAAGGGCTGCTTCTAGTACACTGGTATCTCTCCTTGGAATCCTGTGATCATCAATCTACAATGGCTTCCAATAAATCTTTTACAGCCTTACTATATAGTGTCACGTGCATCTTTTGTCGGCTTCACTTAATGAAAATATTACAGTAACCAACATGTACGAACATTTCCTTTGCACCAGTAAGTACTGTGCATCCTCACATTTACACGTCGTGAACGCTTCTTTAACTAATGAAGGAACCGACAAATCACACCAAACCAAGAGAGCACACTCTCATTCCACACTTCCTGTCCATGCCATTCATTCATTCAATAGTTAGGAACACCTACAATGTGTCAGGCACTGTGTTAGACATTAAAGAAACAACGGTAAACAGAACGTATGCTCGAGAAGCTTATAATCTTGTGGGAAAGACCGACAACAGGTGGTCTATTAAATCGGTCTATTATTAAATCAAATAATTCCAGAAACATAACCACACTGCTCTTTATCTCCGCTATGGGACTTGGGGGCAAACAATTCAGCCCACACCGTGCACCGTGACTCCGGGCAGGTCTTTGCGCTTCTCTGTGCCTCAATTTCCTTTTGATAACGTAAACAGTGTCAATTGGGATTAAAATACTATCCGAGATGGTAATGTGGTCCGCAAGGTTCCAGTTTCGTCCTCCAACTAATGACAGCTACACGAGGCAGGAAGAGAATTCCCACGTTACAGCCGAGGAGCATGAGGCCAGCAGCGGTGCCCGGCTGGGCGCCGGTGCCACAAAGGCCCCAGGAGGGGCTAGGAGCTCTCCACGCCTGCCCGCTAGCACCCTCCCTCCATACCCGCCCCACTCACCATGGTGCGGGGGAGGGCGCCGCCCCCAGGCCGCGCGGCCTCGGCCCCCGGAGCGGCACAACCTTAGGCAAGACCTGCCTGACGGGAACTGAAGACTCTACCCGCCTACTGAGCCCGGCCTTTATGTCGGAAGAACAAACGGGAAGGACCGGAAGTGAGGGTGACACTCGGCTGAGGACAGAGGAGGAAACGCAAGCGCGTCTCAGTGAGCCGCCTTCCGATAGCATCTGGACGGCCCACCATCGCACGCATACGTAGGATGGGGCTTAGGCAAAAGTGCGCTTGCGTAATGGGCCTGACTTCTTCAGGCTTAGTGCCGCGCGGCAGGTTTTACTCTCGCGATAGTAAGGACAAACTTTCTCCTGTTAAGTAGTAGGCACTGCGGAAACTGCACCATCGGGGGCTATGCTTGGGAAGCTGTCCGGGCTTACAGGCGCCAGTGTAGATATGAATCTCACCGGCCCTCTTTTGTGAGAGCGGTCATCCCCTTTTGGAAGTTACTCGTTTCATTCCTCTGAATGGACTGGGTTCACAACGGCCGGGGGCTGCTGGATAGGATCGTTACCCCGCCCGCGTGGACGAAGGAAGTATGGCCCTGGCAACTCCACAGTTGGAGTTGCAATTTCCGGTTAGCAAGCGCTGAAACGCCCCTCAAGACAGACCACTGCGAGAGTCTGTGTTCTCCAGGAAGTGGAGCTGGCCGGGCTTCGCAAACTTCTTCAGTTGCCTGTCATTTACTTAGGGCCTGCACTTTTACTGGCTTCGTCTTCTCCGCCTGGAATCACGTGTTCTTTAAGAGCTGACCAGTGCTTGAGGTTACTCTTTTAAAATACGGAATTTAAGGCTTAGGGAAGAAAAAGTCACTTGGTAGTTAGATGAGATGTAAGTCACTACCGGGACAGACGGATTTCCAGATGCGGTCAATCTGTGTGATGGACACATTGCAGGGACCAGACCAAGAGAGGGGAAAGGCCACTGAAAGGAGTGGTTCTGGGTTGCCACGCCCACGTGGTGTCAGCAGTGGGGTAAACTGTGGTGGAAGGCCTGCAGGAAATTCGACCAGTTAGTTACAGCAGCTTTCCCTTATCAAGGGTGGTGATTTCCTCTACCAGAAGACCTAACCAGTGGTGGGCAGCCTGCCTGTGGCCAGCGAGGCACAAGCCGGGGGTAGAAAGCAGCAGATATGTGGTTCCGGATCAGACAGGACAAGTATTTAGGAGAATAGATACTAGGATTTCATGCCTGATCCGTGGCAAAGACAGCAAAGTTTCTCTGAAGTTTTAGTGGGCGTATGGCCACCCTGCTAGTGACTACATTTTTGCACCTCTCTGGCAGTGAGGTGTTTGTGACTGAATAATGGACAATGGGAAGTGAGTCAAAGGGATGCGCGTCATGAAAAGAACGGGTCTGCTTTCCCCTTAGCCCTTCTCTGCCCGCTGAGGGAAACAGCCACCTTGAACTCAGAAATGGAAATCTTGTGAAGATGCCAGAGTCCCCTCCCTGCCAGTGGAACACCTAGCTCTGTAAAATGAGAAATTTATGTTTTGTTTAAGCTGCTGCATTTGAGGATCTTCTGTTACAACAAAAAACTTAACCTTTAAATTATACCTGGTTCCAAAAGGCGGTACCATTTCCCCACTCAAATGAGACTTTTCTCACACTTCCATACCTTCACTTTACCTATTAAATCGCTGACCTGCTAGTTTCTTCTAGGATGCAGAGATCGCATATAGCAGCATCCAAGAAGCCTTACCTTAGGCGGATTGTCCCGTCTCCCCCCCCCCACCCCCCAACATCCATTTCCCCTACCCATTTACCTGACTTTCATTTGGTGAACCCTCAGGTTCTGGGGAAGGGAACTCCAATCCCCAGCTTTAAGAGTGGAATAGGAGAGGGAGGCTAAGCTAGTCAGTTCATCCCATCTCGCCAGGCATACTGATTGGTGGGCTTAAGACTCAAGCGATCTGGTCAGTCTCAAGACTTGCTTGCAATGCTGGAACGAAGTGTTTCCTGCTGGATGTCAGCCACTTTTGGACTCCTAGACATACTACTTGATGACATCGAGTTGCTCAATGAAGCTTTGCCTCAAGCCCACTCAATTACTAGATCTTCAGTTATATGAACCAATAAATTGCCTTTAGTGTTAAGACAGTAAGAGTTACTTATTAGTACTTGCCACTGAGCATCCTAATTATACCATCTCTTGCCACATTTTGCTAAATTGCCTTATTTTCTCTGCTTATACTGGTCCTGCCTTTGTTCATGCTGTTTGCTTGCTGCTCCCTGCCACCTGATTAATTTGCCTAGTAAATGCCTACTCACCCTGAGACAGTGTAGACAGCCTGGATTCATAAAAATGTCCCACTATTAGCTCTGTTGCCTTAGACTTACTAAACCTGTTACTTTTTTCTCTGCTGTGAAATTGGTATATTTACCTTCCTGTTCTCATTCTTCCTCATCTGTGAAATTGGGGTATTTGCCTTACAGAGCTATTGTTTTAAAGCAGACACTGCATGTAAAGTGCTCAGATCTACGTAAAGTTCTCAATTGATTATTTCAAAAACAAAAACCCCATGCTCTGCAGATTTATTATGAAGCCTCACCTAAACCCCCATGCAGCCAGCTGAGCCAGGCTCAAGGTCTTAAAGGACTTTGTAAAAGCTCTATTAGCCATTAATCACCATACTGAAGATTTTGTCGTTAGTTGCCATTGAGTCGATTTTGACTGATGGGATGGCCACTGTTATGGATTGAATTGTGTCCCTCAAAAGTGTGTTAACTTGGTTAGGCCATGATTCCCAGTATTGTGTGACTGTCCCCCATTTTGTCATCTGATGTGCTTTTCATGTGTGTTGCAAATCCTATCTCTATGATGCTGATGAGGTGGGATTAGCAGCAGTTATGTTAATGAGGCAGGACTCAAATCTACAACACTAGGTTTTGTCTTAAACCAATCTCTTTTGAGATAAGAAAGCAGAGACATGAGGATCTCATACCACCAAAAAACAAGAGCCAGGAGAATAGTGTGTCCTTTGGATGCAGGGTCCCTGCGCTGAGAAGCTCCTAGACCAGGGGAAGATTGATGACAAGGACTTTCCCCCAGAATCGACAAAGAAAGAAGGCCTCCCCCTGGAGCTGGCTTTGGACTTCTAGCCTCCTAAACTGTGAGAGAATAAGTCTCTCTGTTAAAGCCATCTACTTGTGGTATTTCTGTTATAGCAGCACTAGACGACTAAGACAACCACCTCCACAGTTTTCTTCCCAGAATCTAATTTTCTGAAAGTGAAAATCCTAATTTTAGCATCTTTTGCAACCTTGGTAGACTGAGAATTTCCCAAATCATCGGGCCCTGGTTTCATTTTAACAGTTCTTCCCTCTTGCATTTTACCATAAGCAGCATAAGCAACAAGAAACTAGAAAATCTCCTCAGCTAAATATCCAAATTCATCATTTACACAGAGCTATAGAGCACAGTTCAGCTAAGCTTTTGCCACTGTATAGGATCCCCTTTAGTTTCCAATGACTTTTCTCAATTCCTTCTTAGCCATCACCAGCAGTGTTTTTAATGTTCATATTTCTAACAGACTTTATAATGATTTCAGCATTCTCTAAGATAGATGGTTTTCCCAACTGTACTCTTCACTTCTGAGTCCTCGTGAGCAGTGTTAACACTCATATTTCTACTACCAGCCTGTTCAACGTATTTCAGGGTTTTTCTATCATCCTCCTCAAAATTCTTCCAGCTTGTGTCCATTGTCCAATCCCAAAGCCACCTCAAATTTTTAGGTATTTGTTACAGCAACACCCCATTTCAAGGTACCAAAATCTGTATGTTTCTTATTGGCCAGAAGTTTGGGACTGCTATGCTATTATCACAGCTAAAAGAATATTAACAGTGTAGCTTCTTTGCTATACATAACCAAATTATACAAAAATTTCAATTAGAATACAGTGCTAAAAAAGCTTCCCACTTCCAGCTAGGTGGGCCACTTCACTTCCAGAGGAAATGTCTCATACTCTGCCATGACTAAAAATTTAGTGTCTAATCTTCTGACCCTAGAATTGCTGCATGCTAAGTACAAATATTATATTGAAAAATCAAAATAATTCAAGCACAGCAGCCAAAATCTTCCCAGACAAAATCTTCCAAGGCACCATATATAAACATCCATTTGGGGAAGTTATATTCTTCCATAACTTTTAACAGAAGTGTGACTATTCCTGTTTAGAAAATCAATTTTTCCTTATGTGGTTTCTTAATATTTAATATTTATAAAGACCTTGGAAATGGACTATTACTCCCAATATAACTTAGCTTTTGCTAAACCACTGGAACCAAACCAGATAGAAATCTACACTTCTATCAATTGTGTAACAAGTTTACAGACTCAAAGCAGCACCTGCACAAAGGTTAATAAATGCTAAAAGCATTAAGTAAAAGAATACTGGGGAACAAGAGACAGATTACTAAATTTCCAAAGGAAACGTGTACCACTACAATGGAAAAACTGGGATACATTACCTTAAGTGATCAAGTTCTGCAGTGAAACTCAATATAAAGTACACAACACCTTTAAAACATTGTTGCTACGAAGTTTATGCTGAACCTAATAATCAAGCCTCTATACCAGGAAATGCAGGGGATGCAGAACCAGTTAAATGACACAAGGAAACAATCATAATATGGGACACTCATGAAAACGGTTCCCATCTCTTCAAAGTCAAGGTTATGTGGGAAAAAGCAGGGAAACTGTCAGAAGACTGACAAGAGGCTAAGGAGCCCTGGTGGTGCATTGGCTAAGTATGCTCAGCAACTAACTGAAAGGCTGGCAGTTTGAAGCCACCCAGCAGCTTCGCAGAAGACAGGCCTGGCAATCTGCTCTCATAAAAACTAGAAAGCCCTATGAACCAGTTCTACTCTGTGACACGGGGTCAAAATTGACTCGACAGCACATAACAACAAACATTAACCAAAAGCAATTCATAAACCCTGACTGGATCCTAGTTTGGAAAAACTGGTTATGAAAGACTTCTTTGGGACTGTCTTCTTTTGAATGAACGGGAATGTCTTCTTTTGAGATGCATACTGAAAAGTTCAGAGGTGAAGTGTCACATCTATAACTCACTTCCAAATGGTTCAGCAAAAAAAAAAAAAAATCAATTGTTGAATCCTAATGGAGACTGTAAGTATAGTATTCAATATACTGGTTATTTTTTTAACTGTTTATAAAATTCTTCAAAATTAAGTTTTTAGGAAAGTTATATTTGGTCAACTCTAAGTCACTGGCGAAGCTTCAAGAGGCAGAGAGGACAACTATTCTAGAATTGGTTGTGAAAGTATGAAGGCTCATCAAGTAGGCAACAAGACAGCAAAAATTGAAGAGGGAAGCAAAAGCAAGATGTTTTATTCATTAGACAATGCATAATTCATTGTAGTACCTCCATTTCTCTTTCCCTCATCCCCTCAACCCATGTGAGGGGAAAAAAAAAAAAACTTTGGCCTTTTAGCTACTTGTACGGATGGGCAGCCTAGGCAGGTATTAGAGAAATATAAGGGATTTCGTTTTCTTCCTGGCCTACGTCTCCCTTGAAAGGAGGAATTCAAGTTAAGAATCCTCGTTTCTTATTCAATGAAAGCTGTTCCCTCCAAACCTCACTTTGACAAAACCATTCATACATCAATGTGATGTTCTGAACTAACACAAGATGGGCAGTGTGCCTTTTTCAGATACTCAAGGCAATGTTATCCTTTGAAAATTGTTTTTAAAAAAAAAGGTACCCTACCCCGGATTCTCTATCAGCCCAGAACTAACACAATTTCTGAGGCCAACTCTTCAGACAGGGATTGGACTGGACTGTGGGACATAAACTGATACTCGTGAGGAGTGTGCCTCTTAGCTCAAGTAGATACAAGAGACTAAACGGGCAGCTTCTGCCCGGAGGTGAGATGGGAAGACAGAGAGGGTTAGGAGCTGACTGAATGGACATGGGGAATCGGCGGTGGAAAGAAGTGTGCCTGTCACTGTATGGGGAGAGCAATTGGGGTCACGTAACAATGTACGTATAAATTTTTGTATGGGAGACTAACT